CATTAGGAAAAGAGGGCCGCCCATCATTTGAACTCCCTTTCTATTTAGAGAACTTTCTCTCTTTTTGAATCCAGGTGTGAGACAGCAATCCATCCTCCTGCCCCATCCCCATCATAGAAGCTGAAAAAGCCACGTATTTGCTTATCAAGAGTCCCTTGCAGCTACAGTCAAATGTGCCCACCTGCAACTTTCAATCAGAGTCATTAATGCAAAGAAGCAGGGAGGGTAAGGATCCATCCTGGTGGTGAGCAGAGGCTACAATGACAGCCACAGGCATTGCTAACAGCAGCAACACCAAGGCTGCAATTGGGGTTTACAGCTGTTCAGCATCAGTGACACTATTGTCTATACCAGACTGGTTTTGTGGTGTCATTCTGAAATGATCCTGGATTATGCCTAGCCAACTTACTCCTCTCCCGTTCTCCAAAAGCAGCTTTGCAGCCTTCCTGGTAATTTTATGAACTATTCAAAATCCTTACAGTAAGTCAGTAAGTTTTCTGCTTAAATCAGCCCCAGTTTTTGTTTGTTTGTTTTGTTTTGTTTTGTTTTTGCTTCCAAATACCAGATAAGCTTCTCTCCTCACCCCACCAACATGATAGAAACTCATGTTTTCTCTTCAAGTATCACCTTAGGGGTAAAGCATTCCTGCGATCCCCAGGCTGACTCATAAGACCCTTTTATATTCTCCTATTCCCTATTATAGCAAGGATCACATTGAAATATTTCTGTCTTGTTTGCCTGTCTTCCCACTAAGTGCCAATTTCCCTGCAAATATATAAAGGAATCATGTCTCTCATCATCATACCCCTGCCTAGCACAGAAAAGGTACTCAATAAATTTGTGAGAAAGGACTGAATAAATATATGAGTAAGCACACAAAACCACACTCCACCCCAAGAATGCCCCAGAAAGGGGGATGAAGGAGGTCAACAGCCATTTTCCTTTCGAGAGTCACTAACCTTTGCTTTAGTATGAGCTAATTTAATATATAGCATCCTTCTCTCAATGTTTTTAATTTAAGAGGAGAACAGAACCCCAACAATGTATCCCTCCTTCCCTTCCCAATGTCTTCCCTTTTCTTATTTCTTCCTCGCCTTCTTTTACTTTTTCTTCCATTCCCTTGTCTTCCAGCACTGAAAGGGCAGATTGAGCCAGGAAGCAAGCACCTGCAGCACCTTCTTCTCTATGGGTCAACTCCCATTCCCATCTCCCTGAGAGCAGTTCACTTTCACACTGGCCTCCATGTAACCCAATGTCAGCTCTCTCCATGGCAGAGAATCATGGAAAGGAAAATCCATGGGGGACTTCAGAGGAGATGTGGAAGAGGTTCTGCAGTGCACTCCTCAGAGGAGGGACACTACTTTACTCCTCTTTCCATGTTTCTCTTCTCCAGAGTCCTCCCACCCTCCCACCTCCTGTACATCCCCTGGAGCCTGTTTTTTCCAATCCAAGTTCACAAGATGCATGATCTTGAAGATTGCCCCTCCAGACCCCAACTTTTTCACTATTTTATGATACAGAGCAATTCTCTGTGCATTGGCCTCAGTGTGCCCAGCAATCAAAGAGCCTCCCCTTAGAAGGCAGAGGAGGTTATAAATATGACACCAAAGTCTCCTTTTTCCCTAAATATTTCTCTACTCACTTTATTAATAAAAGATAAATCCTGCAACTTCCCAGAATCCAAAGGTTTTAAATGTAAATAGACTGCAGTGAATTATTTGCAAATGCAGAACTCATAATCATCCCTTCCCTTCCAAATCCAGTTCCTTCTCCATGATCTTCACCCAGTTCATGGCATCTCCAGCCACGGAGCAGGACACACCCACTTGGAATCACCCTGAAACTTCCTATCCTTCACCATAGTTCCTATCCAACCTAAGTGCCACTGAGTTTACCCTGAAGTATGCTCAGAATCCACTTTGTTCCAAATCTACCTCTACCACCCAGTCTAAATCAACATGACCTCTCACCTCTACCACTTCTCAGCCTCCTGTCATTCACTCTTCCCCCCTTTCAATCTGTTGTCCATAAAATAAAATTTTCTTTAAAATGCACATTTGATGGGCGCCTGGGTGGCTCAGTTGGTTAAGCGACTGCCTTCGGCTCAGGTCATGATCCTGGAGTCCCGGGATCGAGTCCCGCATCGGGCTCCCTGCTCGGCGGGGAGTCTGCATCTCCCTCTGACCCTCTTCCCTCTCATGCTCTCTGTCTCTCATTCTCTCTTTCTCAAATAAATAAATAAAATCTTTAAAAAAATAAATAAATAAAATAAAATAAAATGCACATTCGATCTTAGAACACTCCTCCTGCTGGGGATTCCCATGTGCTCTTAACAATACAGGCTAAAATCCTTAGCATGAATCCATGTCTTCCAATGATCCAACCAGCATACCTCTTGGATTTCTCCCATTCATTCTCTAGCCAGACGTACTGTCCTTTCTTTTAGTTCCTTGAAGAGACCAGGCTCTTTCTCAGCTTAGGAATTCTACATGTTCCAACGTCATCCTCGTCTTTAAATTGGTCAGGTCCCCTTCTTATATGATTTTATACCATTTAATTCTTTTTTCCACAACACTTATCAAGCTATGAAATACATTAGTATGAATATTTGCTTGGTTTCTCCTTGTGTGTGAACATGTGTGGGGCGTGTCTGTGTGTGTGTGTGCATTTAACCACTAGATCTCCTTATCTTGTACTTAGTGGGCCCTCGATAAATAATTTTGTTGAACAAAAGTTGTGGTTGGGAAAATCAGAGAGCAAGAGGTCTCAGAATACCTGAAGTAGTGGGAAATAGAGTCTCTAATGATGGTGGGTAGACTCTGTTTCCCTTCAACTTTGGGAGATGAATCAAAACTGTGCCTGAACAGATTGGTGCCCTGACTGCATAGATCAGCAGGAATATTGCAGCAGAAACACCTGATATATAGCAGTACTGTTTACTGTGATTTATGAAGCTGTTATTTTGTTTTAACACATCATGTGCATTGTAAAGGAGCTTCATCCGCAGAGGTTTCATTAATAGAAGCAGTGTTGTGTAGTGAGGTGGTGGAAAAGGGATTGAAAGATAGGGCTGGCCTAGGACATGTGTAAAGCTTGTATTCCAAGTCCCCTCTGGTTTTGACAAGCCCCCCAGGGCCACTTTTGGAGAGCTTGCTCTCCAGTGTGCTGTGTCCCCAAGAACACCTGATCTTAGGCCCTCTCTACGCACTAGAATGCAAACGACTAATAGAGATAGCTAAGTCTTAGCCCCTGCAGAGTTAGAGAGACAGAAGTTCTGATACTGGAATTTTCAGATGACTTGTTCTATTTGAAGCACCGATGGGAAAATTAGAGCCTTTAGCTCTTGTTCTAACAACTAGTTTCCTTCCCAACCTACACGAAGTTGATCAGTCAAGTTCACCCAAGCTAACAGACTGGATGTCATGGGATATGAGTTATTTCCATTTCCTTCCCACTCTCCCCGACATCTACTCATCATCTACCCCAAAGCACGTCTGGGGACATGCTCTCAGGGATTGAACTCTGAGACCTAAAGACAGGATGTGATAGACTTAGATTTATCTTCACTGCTTTTGTCTGGAACTGGGCTGCTTGGGAGGTATGAGAGAGCAAGGCCAGGTCTCCTTTGACATCTCTAGGCCATTCAGAAGACTCCAGTGACAGAGAACATGGCCCATGGGCTTTATGCTCTTTCTAGTCTCTGCTGCTTGAGGTCAGGGGTAGAGAAGAGTCAGGGGTTGGTAAGCTCACTCAGGTACTGAGGTAGGCCACAGCCCCAGCCTGGTTAGCTCTTAAGTCCCATGGTCCCATCCAAGGGATCTCAGAGTCCTTCGTTCCTTCACACCACAGTTGTGCCCAAAGACTTTTAGGGAATATGTTTCCCTCCCAAACATATTCATCTAAGACAAGATTCTCAGAGTATTTGTCCAGTAAGGGAAATTTAGACACAGTTTACCCAACAACACAAGTCATTCCAAGAGATGAGTATATACAGTGTCCATGTAAATGGTACTTATCTTCCAGATGTTAAGACACATACATCAGGGGCGCCTGGGTGGCTCAGTCGTTAAGCGTCTGCCTTCGGCTCAGGTCATGATCCCAGGGTCCTGGGATCGAGTCCCACATCGGGCTCCCTGTTCGGCAGGAAGCCTGCTTCTCCCTCTCCCGCTCCCCCTGCTTGTGTTCCCTCTCTCGCTGTGTCTCTGTCAAATAAATAAATAAAATCTTCAAGAAAAAAATAAAGACACATACATCAGTGGAGAGAGACTTAGTGTTTTGAAATAATGTGTTAGGATGTTGGAGCACAGAAATGCCACGCTTACTTTTTGTACATGACTCTGGTGCAGAGATCAGCAAACTTTCTATAAAAGGTCAGCTAGTAAATATTTTAAGCTTTGTAGGCCATGTAGTTTCTACTGTAACTATTCAACTCTGCCTTTGTAGCATGAAAAAAGCCATAAACAAATGAGTGCGGTCATGTTCCAATAAAACTTTATTTTCAAGGGCAGGCAGCAGGCTGGATTTGGCCCAGAGGCCAGAGGACTCACCCCAGTATAATAAAAAGTTCTTTCCAAGTTATAACTGTTAAGATATGATTAACTGGGACACTGTTAAGAGGCTAGTTAACATATCTATAAATTCTTAAGATTTCCATTAACATGAAGATACCAAGAAAAGACATCAATAATATAGGCATGAAGCAAAACTGGGAGTGAATGTTTTCTAAGATCATTTTATCTCAATACATCAAAAGAGCCCAGAACCTTCCAGAATCTTCTCCTGTACCTTGTGCTTTTCTGTTCTACTCGCCAATGAGGCTGATAGGGTGCAGATCCTCTTTCTATAGTTTGCAACATAGGCTACTGCTCTAAAAAAAGAAATGCTCTATCTGTATTTGCTGTTGCAAACAAAACCCTGCACCTTGGGATGTGATTAGAATACACATTGGCAGGTTTATTTGTGAAGCACCTTGAAGGGGTGGGAAGAAGGGGGGTTTGAAGTCAGAGCCACCAGCCTTCATGAATTTGCATGTCATCCTTGCACAGGGGCCATGCTAATCTTCTCTGTATCGTTCCAATTTCAGCATATGTGCTGCTGAAATGAGCACCAGAGCCACCAGACTTCAAATCCAGGCTCCTTCCCTTTCTTGCTGTGTTACTTCGGCAAGCGACTTAACCTCTCTGAGCCCTAGTTTCCTTATCTACTAAGTGGTAATAATTATTACTTCTACTTCATGGTGCAGGAATAACTACCATTTTCTGAGTTCCAAGCATAGGCCAGGCACTGTGATAAGTGCTTTACGTACATTATCTCATTTAACCCTCAAAACAGGCCACAGCTAGTTGACTGCTGAGGAATGGAGGATGAGATCTCATGAGATCTCATGCTGTTACTTCCCTTCCTCTTTACCCAGAGTAGGTCCTTCCTAAAGGTGTCTGGGATCATCGTGAAGAAGCCCCTGGACAGGAATAAAAGAGGCTGTTTAATTCATGTTACTGGAGTGGAATTTTCTTTTTTTTTTTTTTTTTTTAAGATTTTATTTATTTATTTGACAGAGAGAGAGAGAGGGAACACAAGCAGGGGGAACAGCAGAGGGAGAGGGAGAAGCAGGCTTCCCTCAGAGCAAGGAGCCCGATGCGGGGCTCGATCCCAGGACCCCGGGATCATGACCTGAGCCGAAGGCAGACGCTTAACGACTGAGCCACCCAGGCGCCCCTGGAGTGGAATTTTCTATGCTGGATTGTCTCTCTGAGCTGAGCGAGTTCCCTGGGAATTGATGCACAAAGCTGCCCGGAGCTGGCACTGGCCGAGGATGCATTTGAGACTTTATGAGGCCCTTCTCTCAAGGTATGTCATTACTCCGACATTCGCTCCTAGCTGGGCTTTTTTTTTTTTTTTTTTTAATGTCTTTTATAGTTCATTATTGGTTTTACAAATATAATTTCCCAGCCTGGGTTACATTCCTTCTTCCAACTCCAGTTCATCCCAATGTTTAATTAAATCATATTAATGTGCTTATTGAACAGATAAGATAGTCTCCTGGTCTGAAATCATAACGGCTCCCTCCTCCCCCTGTCCTCCTGCCACCAGCGTCCCCTTCCTGGACCACCAATGACGAGTTTCTCATCTTTCTTTATGCACATGCAAGAATACACATAGCTTTTATACAAATGTTAGCACACTATACAAAGTGTCCTGAACCTTCTTTTGTTATTTCAAAATATATCCTGAACATCTTTCTGTAGAAAAAGCTTTCTCATTAAAAATGGCCTTCTGCTAACTGAAATGCCCTCACTGCCTCAGAATAAAAGGACCGTGACTTATTTAACCAAATCCCTAGTTATGATGATTAAAATTATTTCCAATCATCTGATTTTACAAAAAAAAAATGCTTCAAAGAAAATCTTGTATCCATGACATTTTTGAAAGCAGGGATCTCAGTCCCAGTCATCTACTGTCATGCAGAATGAAGAGAAAGGAGTCAGCCCTTTGTGCAGATACCAGGAATTGGGCACAAGAAATCACAGCGGTTGAACAGTTCTAAAAACATAGTCTAACCTCAATAAAACTGAAAAGGATAATAAATAAAATAAAAGTATAGTATAAACAAATGCCCTAGAAAGAAAAAGGAAGCTCTCCCCTCTGCTAATCTATTCCATTTCCAGGAAAAAGCAAGGGCTAAGAGTGAAAGCACCATTTACCTTTTCTCATCTCAAATGAGTTAGTTCTTGGAAATGGTCTCCCCTTCCTCCTGCTCTTTCCTCTCTCTGTCCTTAATTCCATATTCTACCAGAAACTACTGGACTTCATGAATTTTTATTAACAATTCAAGATGCTTCCATAATAATTCCTGTGACCACAGCCCCTACTAACTCGAATGGTCTTGGGGTGTAGTGCTAACTGCCTCTGGCTATGAAAAGGACAGCAAAGACTGGATTACAAAGAATGCAGGTCTGGAAACTTCCCTGCAGAATGACAAAGGTTGTTTATAAGGAAAGGGAGTGATGGGAGGTCCATGGGACCAACTGTCAGTTACTACTTCTTCTCGCAGAATCTTTCGGGGGTGAGATGTAGGACTTGAATTTTTTCAGTACCTACATTAATCCAGCACAGTCCCAACTCCTTTGCAAGACTGACTTGAGGGTGGATTCTCATTAGAAATGAATTTATTTCTAAAATGCAGGCAAAGAGGTTCACAGACACTCTTATCTCTTGCTTTTCTTGTTCTTTTTGCCATGGAAATAAGCCAATATATCGTTCAGATCTACTTGTGACTATTTGATTTTTGTTTACATTCATCCGGTCATCTGAAAAATGACCACTGCTCAGGCAGACTGATGCTTCCTGAGCCACTCTTTTCTTTTTTTTTTTTTTTTAAGATTTTATTTATTTCTCTGACAGAGAGAGAGCACAAGTAGGCACAGTGGCAGGCAGAGGGAGAGGGAGAAGCAGGCTCTCCACTGAGCAGGGAGCCAGACCCAGGACCCCAGGGTCCCAGGACCCCAGGATCATGACCTGAGCCGAAGGCAGCCGCTTAACCAACTGAGCCACCCAGGCGCCCCTTGAGCCCTCTTTTCTAACATGTATTAATATATCAATACCACCTTCAAGTAGTATGTCTTTCCATATTATTCTTTGGTCCCCCGCCCCAATGCTTTTTAAGCTTCATTTAAAAACAAAAACAAAAACCCTCTCACCATTTTTCTCAAGACTGTCTCTATAAAACATCCAGCCTGCTGCTAACTAGGCCATATCTTCATATTTCAATTTTTTAGTGGCTCTGTTTTATTATCTATTATTATTACTACAGCATTTGAGAATTTCTCATTGGGGCAAATGTTTGGCCACTGGAAAAATAGAGATTTTCATCTTTCCAGCTAAACCTCACCACACAGCTATAACATTTCCCAGTTATGACTCTTCTGCAATGTCACTTTCTAAAAATGATAAAAGTATCAAAACACTTGTATCTGTCTTAAAATATATGTTTAATGCTTCTATCTTCATGAAAGAAGATGTTAGTTGAAAGATGCTTTCCATACAGTATTCTTTCTTAGAGTTAAGTATATGACACTTCCCTTATGCTTTCCACGTATTTGAAAACACTTTTGAAGGGGCATGTGCACCCCAATGTTTATAGCAGCAATGACCACAATAGCCAAACTGTGGAAAGAACCCAGATGTCCATCGACAGATGAATCGCTAAAGAAGATGTGGTATATGTACACAATGGAATATTATTTAGCCATCAAAAACGATGAAATCTTACCATTTACATCAACATGGATGGAACTGGAAGGTATTAATGCTGAGAAAAATAAGTCAATCAGAGAAAGACAATTATCATGTGGTTTCACTCATATGTGGAATATAAGAAACAGCACAGAGGATCAAAGGGGAAGGGAGGTAAAACTGAATGGGAAGAAATCAGAAAGGGAGACAAACCATGAGAGACTGTTAGCTATAGGAAACAAACAGGGTTGCTGGAGGGGAGGTGCATGGACGGATGGGGTAATTGGGTGATGAGCATTAAGGAGAGCACGTGATGTGATGAGCCCTGGGTATTATATGCAACTGATGAATTACTGACCTCTCATCTGAAACTAATGATATATTATATTTTGACTTATTGAATTTAAATAAAAAAATAAAATAAAATAAAATGTAGGTTTTAGGGGTGCCTGGCTGGCTCAGTTGGTGAAGCATGTGACTCTTGATTTCAGGGTTGTGAGTTTGAGCCCCACGCTGGGTGTAGAGACTACTTAAAAATAAATAAAGAGGGGTGCCTGGGTAGACAGTCATTAAGTGTCTGCCTTCGGCTCAGGTCATGATCCCAGGTTCCTGGGATCGAGCCCCACATCGGGCTCCCTGCTCCACTGGAAGCCTGCTTCTCCCTCTCCTTCTCCCACTCCCCCTGCTTGTGTTCCTGCTCTTGCTCTCTCTCTGTCAAATAAATAAATAAATAATCTTTTAAAAATAAACAAAGACAGAAAAAAAAGAAATCTTTTAAAAATAAATAAGTAAATGGGGCGCCTGGCTGGTTCAGTCATTAAGTGTCTGCCTTCGGCTCAGGTCGTGATCCCGGGGTCCTGGGATCAAGCCCCACATCAGGCTCCCTGCTCCGCAGAAAGCCTGCTTCTCCCTCTCTCACTTCCCCTGCTTGTGTTCCCTCTCTCACTGTGTCTCTCTCTGTCAAATAAATAAATAAAATCTTTAAAAAATAAATAAATAAGTAAGTAAAATGTAGGTTTTATTATTATTCAGGTATGGCAAGGCCAACAGATGAGAAGACTGACACTGAAAGGAAAGTCTGTTACTCACTGTTCCCTAGAGGAGGGGGCATGCCACACCACAGAAGCAATGCAGGGAGGCACTGGGTCTGTCCAGAGGTCCTGCAAGCAAGCAAGGGGGAAATTATGGGATAGAATCTTTTTTTTTTTAAGATTTTATTTACTTATTTATCAGAGAGAGAGAGAATGAGCACAAGCAGGAAGAGCTGCAGGCAGAGGGAGAAACAGGCTCCCCGCTGAGCAGAGAGCCTGATGTGGGATTCGATCCCAGGACCCTAAGATCATGACCTGAACCGAAGGCAGACACTTAACCGACTGAGCCACCCAGGCTAAAGTCCTTATTTTGGTTTCTGCCGAAAGAAGCAGGTGAGTCAGGGTAAGTAGGTTTAAGATTGGCTGCTGATTTGAATGATTTCTGCAGGCTCTGAAGCCCAGGGGCTGTCCCTTTTTGTCTGGTACTAGTCCCCAGGACAGATTAGGGCAGGGGCATAGTGGCCTTGAGTGTAAGAGCTTGAGGAAGGAGGCAGTGGGGTGTGGGCTCAGGATTGGTGTGTTTGCAGACAAGAGCCACAAGACCAGGTGAGTTGTTCCCTGTCTCTAGGAATTGGCTAGCCATGAGAGGGGCAGTCTCTCCAAATTTACTAAGGTCTCATAGGTCAAAACATCTGAAATGCAAAAAATAAAAAGGCATGGTTAATATAGTATCAGTCATTATTTCAGCAGGAAGCAGAAAGCACATTCAATTTAGGACAATTCTATATGGGGTTTTTTTCTATATGGGTTTAATAAACAATTTGCAAAGGTATGGAGAGGGTAC